GAGAAACTAAATAAATACATGAATTCTTGAAAATAAAACATCACCTTGAAATTGGATGAAATCTTGATGTTCTTTGTGAAATTCCTTGTTGATCTCCCTCAATTTGGTCTCCAAGAAGTGTTTTATTCTCCTCCAATGCGTTCTCCCCCTAATTTTGTCTAGTCCAGGCTTTTATATCCCGTAAAAATCGAAGTCCGAAAGAGTTTTATTGAGAAACAGAAACTGCAAAATTAACCCAGAATTTTGTATCATGCGACCACATGGTTATCAACCATGCGGTTATCCGCATGGTTGAACCAAATTTAGGGTTTGAATTCCCTATTGGGGACTGTGCGACTGCATGGAAATAACACCATGCGACATCATGGTTTAATAAACTTCCATTTTGTGTCGTTTTAGTCCTCAAACTCAATATTCTTGTTTAACGACATCTTTTCTTCGACTATTTTGTTCCATCATCTCATATTAACCTCCNAATATGTGTCCAACAATCACATCCACATAGTGGAACGATTCTACTGGTGTATGACATAAGATTTCTTGGTATGGTAACAGGAAAAATACTTGTAAAAGTTATTCTTCCTTCGACCCAATGACAGCTAACGCATGTGGCATGGAATTTCGTCCACTTGAAACCAGTTGCAAATGCAACTGAATGCCCCTCAATTTTTCACTCTCACGTACTGTCCAAATCAACATAAAAATTTACAAAGATAAGAATTCCAACAAATATCATGAGCGATTGAAGTAGTTAACTATATAAAAATTATGGGCTTTCCCATTCAACTACATAATAGCAGTTAGTGACATGATTCATATACAAGAACTTTATGACTGACATATAACATTTGTTTTTACCGAAAAGTAATCCATGTTTATATTCATGTGGCCAGAAAAAAATTGTAAGCACACAACCAAGTATAATTTCCAACATATTTCGTGAAATTAACTTTCTTAATCAAATGACATTTTCGAATTACAAGTACAAATTATCAACAAAATTCAATATCTCATCAGTAATTTCTTATTGCAAATGATGCAAAATGAGTGGAGGGTTCATATATGGAGACACTTAGAGTGCATTTGATTATTAATATTTTTTTTTATGGAAAATGTCATTTTTTTCACCCAAATTCTTACTTTTGTGTTGTTTGATATATATATATATATATAAAGTTTTTATTTTCCAGGTAATGCAAGTTTTTATTTTCCAGGTAACGCACTCTCTCTTTCTCTCTTATCTACTCCCAATCTCTTCCGTCTATTCACTAATAAAAAATAGACATATATGACCTTTTCTATGTCGAAAATAAAATTAATCAAATACTTTTAATTGACAATTTTCATGCAAATAATTTATAGGCAATTTAATTGCCTGAAATATATATTTTTTCCATGCAAATTCTATATTTGCAATCAAACATACCCTCAGTGTTAAGTACATTAGGTTGTACTTGTGAGTAAAAAATGTGATATGTATTGAATCATGACGCCAATCCCAGGTGCAATAATGAAACATATGACAACAAAAAAGGTGCACAAAGACGTATAGTAGTGCAGTCAACCTCAACATTCTGCCAATCTTCACTTAATTTAGTTTTCTTTTTCGGTTCGTTTCCATTTCCTTAAGTTTTTTCACAATTTTTCTGCAATGTCTAGATCTTTTGGCGTACCAATTGTGTCATAATTATCCACAGACGTTTCATTATATAGGTCGCATTACCACACTTTGCAACACATCACTGAATTTCTTGATTCAACATTAAATATATGAGAAGGTGATTGAAGAAATTAACAGTATGTGGTCTTACATCGGATTATGGATCTTGTAGTAAGTATGAAATTCCCCAATTCCATGAATTTTCTGAATCAACGAGCTCAGATGGATGTGATGGTAAAGTTTAAACACCAATCTGAAATAAAAACACAACCAGGATTTCTACTGCAATTTTTAGAATGCACTTTTCTTAAAACTTTTTGGAAACAGATGATGTTTTGGAGATGTAATTAACTGGGTTGATTAGTGCTGCTTTTGAATTTTAGTTACATTGTTGATTATAGGAGTGAAATGTGGGTTTAGTATTCATGATTTTATTATGTATGATTTGTAGTATTTTTGATAAATAATCTATCACAAGGTATTTATAGTATTATTATTTTTAAATGATGTAAATGTGATTTTTCCTTAAGTGGAAATTATATAGAAGCCTACTTTTAAAGAGTCCATTTCATTAATTCTATGCTAAGTTTATTATTTCACAAATCAAATATTAATTTAAATATTATAAATCAATATTTTTAATACTAATTGTAATATTATAAATTAATTTATATACACACCTATCCTATTTACCTACCCCATTCAAACCCTAAAATCATATTTTTTCTCATCTCCTCTCCATTCTCTGAACCAGCTTCCTTAAGTGGAAATTATATAGAAGCCTACTTTTAAAGAGTCCATTTCATTAATTTTATGCTAAGTTCATTATTTCACAAATCAGATATTAATTTAAATATTATAAATCAATATTTTTAATACTAATTGTAATATTATAAATTAATTTATATACACACCTATCCTATTTACCTACCCCGTTCAAACCCTAAAATCATATTTTTTCTCATCTCCTCTCCATTCTCTGAACCAGCCGACTCTCAACCATCATATCACTGTCGTCGTCAGATGCCACTCTAGTAACCTCGTCTGATGTGAGCTCCATCATCGCAATGGCGAGTCATAGTGCAGCGATGTAAAGCAACATCGTTGCTGCTGTGACGGAAGTGAACGTTGCAGACCGGCTTTGTTGTACCACTGCTGTAGTTCGATGGTGATGGTAGTACTAAAGGTGGTTGGTGTAGTTCAGTGGTGATGGTAGCGATGTGCTCATTGCAGACCGGGTTTTTGGGATTTTTTTTTTTTTTTTTTTGGTTTTTGATTCGATCTATTGGGCGTTGGTGCGGTGATCGGCAATGAGGTGGTGGTGGTCGTGGAGGTTGCTTTATGTTTGGGATGGCATGGATGATGCTCGATCTGGTTGTGATTGCTGCAAATCGGAGTCGGAGAAGAGAATGAGTGGTTGTGGTTGTGGTTGTTGGTGGCAGTGATGACGACGATAGCGGTGATAGAATGGGACGAACAATGTAGTTGTTGCGGTGGTGGTGCTGGCAATTCAGTGGTGCGTTGCGATGGTTGTGTTACACTTGGTGATGGTGGTGGCACAGGCATTGATTTTGGATTTGGTATTTGGAGTGGCATTGGTGGTGGTGGTGGTTTATTGGTGGTTGGGCATTTTTTTTAAAATTTTTTTGTGTGACGGTTTTATTGATGTTTGAGTGGTGATTGTGGTTTTGCAAGGTTTAGTGGTGGTAATGGTGATAGTGATGGTGGTTGTGATGGTCATGGGTGAGATGAGATGGGGTTGGATGTTTGTGACCAATTATTTGGTTATTGTGACTAATAATTGGTTAATTTATAATATATGACCTAAAAATTGTGATTGTGACTCACAATTAATTAAGTTGTAATCGAAAATTTATCGTGACCAATTAATTTAATAACTTGCAATAAATAAATGAGTTGTTACTAATAGCAGTGTTGATTCTGTGATCGGTGAATAATCTATTACCTATAAAAATTTTAATTCGTGATCCAAAAATAATCAGTGACCTATAAATTTTTTAATTTGTGACCGAAAAATAAGTTTTAACTAATAATTTGATAAGTTGTGACGAAAAATTAATTTGTGACTAATTAATTAGATAACTGTGACCAAATTATATAGAATTGTGACCTCAATATATTTAAATTGTAAAATACATGTTTCATAAATTAATTTATAAATAAAATTTTAAAATATCTGATTTTTTGAAATTTGAAACTTTGTTTCTTAATTTTGAAATGTGTCATACTTAATATCTTATTTATGGATTTTTCTCTATGTATAAACTATTCTTCAGGCCTTTTATTGGCAAATGACGTGGCAAAATATGCAAGGTTGCCTAATTAATTCAACATCAACTTGAGAAAAAAATTATTGGGTAATTGATGTAAAATGTTCTTATCGTTTGTCCATTTTGCACAAATCCACCGTTTAAATTTTGATAATAGGACCCTAGGCATAGAGTGGGGCAAGGCAAGGCTCTCGAGTCCCATTTATTTATTTATTTATATGAGTCCCCAAAAATAAAAATTTGTCACTCTTGGTTCCGACCATTCCTCATATCAATCAAACATTGTGCAAATATATGCATGCTCTCCACATGACATAATTTAGAGGGATAAAAAACGTTAGTTTACTTAAGATTCTTTCAGGGGCGGATCCACTTGAGGCCGAGTGGGGTCGGCCGCCCCCAGGAGCGGACTCAGACGACTTGGGTTAGGGGAGCAAAAATAAAATTTATACGGTATTAAGTGATTCATTAAATTATACTTCTTATTTAATGTCACATTAGTACCACTTCTATTAATGTTTTAACACAAGTGGTGCTAAATAGCATAACTCTCGGAAAATTTTGTCTCTTTGTATTCATTTTCCAATACCAGATGCGGCCATGCGGGTGAGCAGGCCAAGGACGGACCCACTTGAGGCCGAGTGGGGTCGGCCCCCCCCACTCGATTTTCAAATTTTTGATTTTTCTTGAGGTTTTTTCAGGTTTTCCAGGTTTTTTTTCCTATGATTTTTTGGTTTTGCCCCTTAAGTTTTTTGTTTTCGCCCTCACTGAATTTTCATTTTAGGTCCGCTCCTGGATTATTTTCATACTGTTCGAGGAGTTTCGATTTTTCATGCTGCTTGAAAAATCCATGCTTAAAATATTTTGACATGAAAACAAAATACTATTACGAGTCTTATTCCTCATATTAAGGAAAGCATTATATATATTTCAAAGCCAAAGAGCTCCAGCATTCTTAAGAAGTGGAACCAATGTGCCATTAATATGGAAACTTATAACTCTATCCATTGAACCAACAAGTTTCCCCCAAGGAAAGCATTATATATATTTCAAAGCCAAAGAGCTCCAGCATTCTTAAGAAGTGGAACCAATGTGCCATTAATATGGAAACTTATAACTCTATCCATTGAACCAACAAGTTTCCCCCCAATGAACACTACTGGAACAACATTACCAGTTGATGAACTCAGCGTCCTCTCAATTTCTTCACTTCTTGGATCTTCGTCAACTTCATAGACTCTTGGATGTACTCCAATTCCATACAAAAGAACCTTCATTGCATGGCACATGGAGCACGTGCTTTTGCTGAATATCACCACCGCACTTCCAGCCGCCACCCTCGCCACCCACTCTGCCACCGCTGTCTCCAGTGAAGAATACCTTTCTGTGGCTGGATTCTGCATTGTTACCTGGAAGAGAATGAGTAGAAAAGCAAGTGAAGAAAGAAAGAGTTTGCGGATTTTGAATTTGGACAATGGTGAGCGAAGAATATATAGTGGAGGATGAGTTGGATGACGCAATATTTAATATGGGTGGGCTTGTTTGTGGAGGAAATTTATATGACGCAATAATTTTTTTCTTCTTGAGAATAAATTTTCATGCATCTTTTTATTTTTATTACTGTCATGACTTGCTCATCCTATGATCTTATAATTCATTAAATCACAAACTCACCTCTCATATTCTCGATGTTGAACTAAATGACTAATTCAAGAATTTCGCGCAAAAATGAAGAACAAAACATTGTTGGCTTCCAAACTAGTAATAAAATTGTACAGATTTTATTATTATTTATTTTATTTATTTTGGCGACTGAGTCTCTAATTTTTTGTAACGGTTAATTATAGATAAAGTTTGCACGTAATTGTGGGAAAGAAAATCGTTGGTTTTGACAAGAAGTCATTAATGGTGGTGCTTTGTTTCTCAGTCGGGTTTGATTAAAGAATGATGATATATTCCACTCAACTTGGCCACATCAAAATTGCCTCGTGGCTTTAGCATAATGACTAACCCTCTATTTTTAAATTTTTTTATTTGAAGACGTACTATTTTATGCACCATAATAAAAGAGAACTTGTTATAATCAAACATTACTTAAGTAGAACAGGGTATTAAACAAATTGGTCAACGGAAGATATGGAGCGACTTTGTTGACCTTCGTATTTGGGGAGATCCAACTCCAAATTGGGGAGATCCAACTCTCAATAGATATCACAAAATGTATCTTGACGGGTGTGCGACGATCACGCAGACTCCTAGTCTCCA